CTCAGTCCCGCACAAAAGTGAAAATTTCCTGTGACAAAGTAGTGCTGCTCTGTATGTGTTACAGCTCAAGTATTATATATTATATATTTATATTCTTATAAGTTAAAGCTGGGTGGGTGGTGTATTTTAGAGACCTGTGTATTTTTAAATATTTTATATTTTTTTAATATTAAAAAGGAAATATTTCTGGTATCTGCGGCTGTTGCAGGACTTTAATAACTTTATTCACTTTTTTGCTATACAACTTTTGGAGCTAGTGCTGCTAGCTACCTTCATTGGAAAAGGGTTTGTGACACTGGGTCGGGTGTTTCAGATGGATTATTTCAAAATCTTAAAAGAAAACGTACTTTTGCTGTTTTCTAAAATGTTGCTAACCCTAGCTTTAAACAAAGTTATGACACTAAAACTGTAATTGTGATTCCGGTGTTTATAAAGGATGGTGTAGAACACTCCCTTTAAAGTTTCTTTTCCCATTTTCTTATTACAAAAGAAAACTTTTTAAGCCAAATTTGACTCCTCATACCTAATTTTGTACCTGATTTGTCCTCAGTACCTGACAAAGAGCAAGAAATGTTATATTGTAGTTATTTTATGTAATATCAACATTCTAAAGGGAGTGTTTTATAGTGTAAAGAGTCTTTGGGAGGCTGAAATCATAATAGTCTCATTAACCTGAGAAAAGGAATAAGCCTTGCATGTAGCGTGTTTCCTATGCTTTCCGTTCCTCCATCAGTTTGCCTAGTTCCTCCAATGTGGCTGCTGACCTTCTCCTCTCTCCAGGCTGGAGTGGCTATTGATTGGATCTTGGCACATAGTGTACAAACAGAGATAAGGAGAGAGAGAGAGAGAGAGAGAGAGAGAGAGAGAGAGAGAGAGAGAGGCAGCCAGGCAGATATAGCTGCAGTGCCCACTCCACTCCCCTCCTCTTGGTTAAAAAAAAAAAGAGGAAAAAAAACAGAAAAACCCTGTTCTTCGAGACTCCACTCCCACTGAGCAGACATGGTACCTGAACACTGATAGCAGACAGGATTAGGTCTAAAATTCAATCACAACAGTCTAAGTAATGTTAAGTCACTGCAGCTGGCAGTGACCACTGACTCTCTTCAACACAGTACAAGTGATCTATCATAATCTTGCTTTGATTTGGGGGATTTCAAAAAAAGAAGAAGAACTGAGTGGATGTGACATCTCTGCGCCGTGAATCTGAGATCAATAGTTTTACTTGATGTGAACAGAGTCACAGTATAATAGCAGGCAAGGAGTCAGGCCTCTTAAGTTGCATGCAGGCAAAGTCTCAGACAACCTTAAGGCTGGTGTGTGGCCTGTCCACTCTCCCTCCCTGAAGTCTCCCATTTACTCTTTCTTTTACTCTTTCTCTCCATCTGGTCTATACAGGCAGAGGCTGTGCTGTGTCAGAGGTGACTAATAGTGTCATAGACCTGCCCTCCCCAGCGGGGCCAGCAGAAGGCCAACTCAAACTGCTGCCTCCGCAACTCCCGGGCAGACACTGCCCACTGGTGAGAAAAAAAAAATTGCTTTGTCAACAGGCAAGGTAGGCAAATAAGGTGCTTCAATTCTAGATGGCCAGGGGACACTTGAGGACCCATAAAGAAATAAGGAAATAGTTTAAAAGGAGGAAGGAAGTAGGCATCTTTTCAAAAAAGCTTGTTGGTATTGTAGCAGGTCAAACATGTGTTGTCTTTCTCTGTCTTTGTGGACATGGACGCCTTAGGGGAAGTAAGAGAGCGAGAGTTGTACTCAGATGCTGTCAGGATGGTCTACAAAAGGAAATGTTCAGACAGACAGGGACCAGAGGAACAGACGAAGGGCCATGAACCCTGCAGAGCAGGAAGAGGAAGAATCCAAACCCCTCTCCTCTGGAGAATAAGAGGAATTCTGCTGGTATTTGTCTTTGTGGATGATGTGTGTGTGTGTGTGTGTGTGTGTGTGTGTGTGTGTGTGTGTGAATGAGTGAATGTGTGTCTATGAACAATTGTGTGTGTCTATATGTGTATTAATGAAATAATCCATTCACACACAACAACAATTAACTCCAATTAAATAATGTTCCACAAATATTTCTCAACACTTCTATCTAATGAACATTGTGCGTCGTCTATAAGCCAGATATCGTCTAACTCTCAGCCAGAAAGTATTTAAGCATATTTCTTAAAAATATCTATAACTAACAACAAGTATTCCTTTAAATAATTGTTTTTGCCTGAGGGCCTCAGGCTGTGCAGGTTGTTAAGGGGAGAGTACTTCAGCGATATAGTATGGGTTCAAAGGCAATGAGTGAAAATTAAACATCTGTATTAAGTTGGTTGCCAATGTCAAGACACAAAGTAATATTTTGTCAGTTTTTGTCTTTGTTAGTAGTCTGGCTGCAGCGTTCTGTACAGTTTGGAGTTATTTTCTAATTTATGCCAGTTAGGAGACCAATGCTAATCCGAACGTGAGGAAATTAAAGCATGCAGGGTTGACTCTGTGTCTCTGAAGCTTTTGTCAGTATTCCTTAGTTGACAAAAACACGATTGGACGACCATGCTACATTATTATTATTTCAAAATCAAGGTTGGCATCCAACAACACACCTAGGTTTTTAACAGAAAGCTATTCGAGCTTCCAGGCTTTACAGGACACATTGCTGTGTGTCATCATCAGGGTATTCCATCTAATCTACCAAGAACCATTGCTCTGGTATCTCTTTCTATTTTGATGTTTGGAATGTGAGACACCATCATGTTTGACGGTCAGCAGTGAAAAAACTACCACTCAAGCTGTGAAAATTGTAAAGTCTCCATTGGAAGAGGAAAACAAGTTACAGTGAAGAATCTGAGATCTGTAAATGATATTCAGATCCTCCTGGCTTGCCCTTTTCATTTATCCCACAACTGTTACATCTCTCTCCCTGTTTCTGTCCCTCCACCTGCCTCTCTCAATTAAGTTGACTTCTAACAACGCAACTCAGCTGAATTCAGGCTGGTTAAATGTTATTTTCACTCTGCTCTGAACATTGGTTCGAGTAAGATAATAAAAACATAACTGCCTTATTAATTAGTAAATACTTCCTTGCTCATAATAATGAAGAGAGCTGGAGGTAAAAACTAAAAAGAGCCGACCTTTTTTTTTAACTGTATCTAAGTCGCCCAGTGCAGGCTGGATAGCAGTGATTTTGTACAGAGGAATACATTACAGAAAACAAATTAGTCAGCAAGATAGAAGAATGGCAGTGCAAATGGCCCCGGCTCTTATTTCCATCCTTATGAGATAACTGTCCCATTAGAAGGTTAAAGCTATTGTGGTGTCCCTGCAAAGACTCTGCCTTGGAAACGGCAGCAATCCGTCTTTAAACTTTGATGCAGCCAGAAAGCTTTCCTCATCCCTTCTCATCCCTTCCCCTCTGACCTGTATGTGTGTGTGTGTGGAGTTACATATGTGTCTGAGATAGAGAAGGGGGAGAGGGTACCAACAAGAGAGGGAGCAGACAAGAGAAAGAGATATGAGAGGGTGGGGCTGGGCTGTCTGCCACCCAGGCCCAGAGAACATAAAGAGAAAAATACGGCCATAAAACCTCTCTATGACTATGAATACTAATTCTGACTCTGTGAGCCAAACCAACCGAGTCTGTCCTCTCTCTGCTCCCCTCTGTCTCGCTCGGAGAAATGATGTGGCTTAGAAATAAAGCATGAATACTGTTCTGCACATGCAGGCAGAACTGTAAAGCTTTGTATTTACTATATGTTATACATGACAAAGTAGTGCAGATGGAGAGGGAAGATTAGTTAGGAGCAGAAGAAAAGAGATACCAAATAACAACATTTAGGCAGAGTTAAAGGCCTCTACATCTTCTCCACAAACAGAGTGTACGCTAGCCTTTCATATTAGATTAAATGTTCTAGGCTACAATTATCAGAACAGTACAAATCTACTTGGCGACCTACTCTTTCTATTGAGCCATGCTACTCACACCAAGCATGCATCACTTGATCAGATCACAGTTGCTTGCAGCATAAAAGGGCCAATTATTGACTTTCATCCATATAAAAACAACATAACGTGATGATTCCTCTTAGCGCACAGTTTGGTTTGCTGCGTTGTGAATAGAAACACCAGTTCTTCTTCTTCTGTTGTATTTCTGACAGACTGGCTGCTCAAGGCATGTCTGCCACCCAATTGGTCATGTCATTTCCAACAGAATTTTGGGGACCTGTAGTGAAACGCACTTGCTGTGAAAACCACTAACCACAAAATGAACCAACGCTGAGAAAACATAAATCTTGACATTCTTTTTTCAATATTGAATTTGCACTGAAGCTGGCTTTGAAATATGATCAAAATTAGAATCTTAAGTACTTAATTTCATAGTGTTATTGTAACTGCAGGTCACTAAATCTTTTTTATCGGAGGTTTTCCTGTTTAAAAATATATTTTTAACCATACTGTCAGCCGTTTCATGTCATGGTTTTTAAATTTTCAGAATTTTATGGTCAGGTGCTCTTCACAAACACCTGTACTTTCATGGTGCCCCCCCTTGCAGCAAGCTTTTCTCTGAAAAATGTTGGAGGACAGAAGAAAAAGTCATAATCTCTCAAGCATTTCTAATGAGTTTTTCTCCTACAATTATTTGATAAGAGCAGACAAGACTGGAGGCAAGCGTGTATGATACACTAGCTCCTACTGCCGAGGTGAGAGCTCTGCTGATTACACGCAGAGCCATTTACACACACACACACACACACACACAGCCAACGGCTTACAGTCCGTCATCTCAGAGTGCAACAATCCTAATAATAACACGAGAGGCTGAAGTTATGACCGGCAGGCACACCTAAGTTACCAATCTGGGTCTCCTTATCCTGAACACACACACACACACACACACTACAACCCTTTATCTTCACCATTCGACTTCTCTGCTCCAGCCATAACCACTACCACCCCACACACACACACTTTCTCTTCCACCTACTCAAAGCGCTTCCCACCTCCCAACTCACCACACTGAGTCCCAGTTGCTCCCTCTGCAGGTAGGGCAGGTTCCTGCGCTCCAGGCTGGCCAGGTAGTGCTGCAGTCTGGAGTAGGTGTAGGGGTAGCAGTAGGCAAAGTGGTATACGTCGTCCTCTCGGTCAAAACAGAAGGCAAAGGACATGACATAGTTGCGCCGGTGGTCAGGACAGCGGTAGTAGTACACGTTTTTGGCGGGAAGCCTCTGCCTGCGACAGTAAAAGACATTATGGAGAAATTAGGGAGGTAAATTACACAACAGGTCTTTTAATTTAAGGGCATGAGGTCTCTTCAGGTGAAGATGTGAGGAACACTGAAAGCACAGCACTTTTGCAAGAGAAGCAAATAAGTGCAGAAAGTGTAACGATAGACACGGAAACTGAGTCATGAGTTACACACAGAGAGATGAGAAATCACAACGCAGAAGTTGCGTCAGTTCGTCGTCTCCAACAAATGTTGAGTTCAGCTGGCAAAGCAGTGCAAAAACTGAGGGAAGTGAGGAGATATCATTTGTTAATGAAGCTGCTGAGGAAGTCTGACAGGTTCTTAGCTTATGAGGATTCAATGCGAAAACAAACAAACATAGAAGTACCTGACAGGCACACCTGTTCCCGGTGTGCCTGTTGGAACCGCGTGAAGAGGCTGATTGCTTCAGCCACTTCTGGGCGCAGGAAAGAAAGATGGATGGAATAATACTTCAGGCTAACCCAGCAACGGGAGATCAGAGACTGTTGTGCTGTTGTGACCACATCTTTACAGAGAGCTGGCTCCATCATGGCATCCCAGATCAAGCTGGTAGGACAGAGTGCAGGACTCCGGTGGGACGAGAGGAGGCAGGCTCTCTGTTTACATCAATGCTGCTTGGTGCTCAAATGCCAAAGCTGACGGACGGTGATTCCCTGATGTCAAATTTCTATCTGCCCAGAGAATTCACCCGTGTTCCTGTTGCTGCTGTTTACACTATATGCAAATTCACAAATGGCACCACAGGAATGCGCTACTTTTTTTGTTTTGCCATGTTTTTCTTGTGGAGCATAAATGGACTACAACTGCGTTTCGCTGTGCAACCCTTTGTTGCAGAATGACAATAAATGATGCTTGAACAATTGCCAATTATTATTTAATTCAAAGGCAGGAAGAACAAATATAAACTGATAGATTGAGAATGAAAATGAACAGCAAAACAACAAAACTAAATTGCAGAGAATAATACATTGTCAACCAACTTCAAAAGTAAATTGACTGAATTAATTAGATTTGTTTTTTATTTTATTAGACTTTTTATGCATTGCCATTCAATACTGAAAGGCACAACCACGGCAAGAAAGCAACACAAATGATAGATGAGACCAAAGATCACACATACAAAACGATAATCAACTCGCGAGCCAATTGATAGGTTTTCCATACGTTGATCTCCGGATGCAGGAGAGCTCACCTTTTCAAGGGCAACTGGATCATTTTGCATCACAGTTTGTGTCTGTGAGCATCAACATGTTTCAGCTTTCCACTTTAAAAGGCAGCAGTTCCCACGTTAATGTGATATTTTAATTATGATGACTATGACATTATTGTACTATATGCGTGGCGTGTTTCATGTTTAATTTAGAATTGCAGTCTGAGTGAAAAGCAGTAAATGTGTCTTAAGTTGTAGTCTAAGTGTTTGAGCAATTTAGAACAATTATATTGAGTGAAGAACGGGTGAGCACCTAATCTGTATACGGCATGCTTCTGGTTTTGTTGAGCGTTGTACGGTGTTTGTAATGCACTGCATGTTTTGTGTCGTGTCTCTGTCTTCTTTGTTGTGTGCTGTAGTTGTGTACTTTGCTGAATTGTGTGTTGCAGGTTGCATGCTGGGCCCAGGGTGAAATAAAGCTGACTGATCCGTGCACCTCACGGGCGATCGATGGGGTGCGGGACAGTACTGCTGCAGTCTACAGAACTTCTCTGCTTACTCAACATGTTTTCTTTTCACACTCCTCACCCGTCTATCTTTGTCTTCCTCTCCTCCCTCGTTTAGCCCTCACCACTGAGACATGGTCAGAGGGAGGTTGGATGCATGCAAGTGACTGCATTTGCCTTCTTTCTCTCTTCCGATTCCTCTACTTTTCTCCAGATCTATCCCGTCTTGTCCCGTCACTCACTGACTCTACCTCGACAGTTTAGCTGAAGAAGACCAAGCATGGGGAACAACAGTGCTGCCGTCGGAGCTTTTGGCAGACGCTCTGAGGGAGGAGGATAAAAGGAGGAGGAAGGAAGATGAGGACGAAGAGGACGATGAGTGACTGGTGTGTTTCGGGGTGTTGGGAGCATGGGAGAAAGGTGGAATAAGGAGATAAGGAGAAGATGAGAGTGCAGGGCGATGGCAGATCTGGGCCTGATAGAGATATGCGGGAAGGGGTGGCGGCTAGCAGCGTAGCGGCTGTGTGATGGCAGGGCTGGTTGGTGAGCTAGCGTCACTGGCAACGGATCAGATGAAGATGCTATCGGGGCTGTGATAGGAACAGGACCTGATAATCAACAAACAGGACAGACTGCTCTGCGCCAACTCTGACAGAGTGAACTTCTCTCTCAGACTCACCTCTGCTTAAGGGGAGGACAGGAAGGAGACACATAAGAGTTTTATGTGTTTGCTCAGACGCCTAATGCATCAGGTGTGGCGACGGACCCGCACAGAAATGCATAGTGAACACACACTCGCGTTGCATTTTCAAACACTTGAAGATGTCCCTGCTGGTACCTAGTAAAACAAAAAGCTAAATCACTCTGCCTCTCTCAGACAGAGGGGACGAAGGGAGAGAAAGGCAGTGCTGATTATTCCTTCAGAGCAGAGGAGGAGAGAGGAGAATGTATCTGCATGTGGCTATCTCAGCAGAATACTAATGCAGCCAGTGGCTAGCTATACCACACCCAGCCTTCCCACTGGAGCCAGATTACCAGCCTTGTCTTACAGCCTGTAAAGCTGGACAAAGAAACAGAAGAAACAAAAAAATGTAATCTTGGGGAAAAAAAAGAGCGCAAATTTTGGAACATGAAAATGATTCATAGAAGACCACATGGGTTTGAAGTAGAGAACTGAGAGTAAAACTGACCGACAAGGACAAAATAGAACATGACACATTCATGTACACAACACCAAACACACACACTGGTGCATTACTATGGTGACAGCCCTCCAAGGTGCAGGTTAATTAAAATAAGATGACACCTCACCTCTTTACATATCTCCCTGTTTGGCTCTGCCCATCCATGCAATCCCACTGCTCTCTGTGTCTCCTTCTCTTTCTCTCTGCTGGGCAGTGTGTGACCTTGCCGGAGACTGGAAAAGTCCTGGCTATTGATTTTAATTACTGCAGCTTGTCCCGTCACAGCATCGTAGTTATACGCCAATGGAACCAGCTCTGTGGGGTTTCATGGAAAGACACAGCCTGGAAGGCCTGAACTATGCTAAAGGAAGAGGCTGTGTCTGCTATACCGTCATGCACACAAATATGAAAAATGCACATAATCTTCAGCACCAAGCACATTAATGCACGCGGTCCCTTTGGTTTTTATCTAAGCGTTAGCTGCTCCTGCTCGGCAGCTGGCAATTTGTTTTATCTAAATGGTACCTCCCCGTGCCCATCTCTTGACGTGGTACAGTGCCGTCGCTCCCAACGGAATTATCACCGCGTGGGATGAGGGAAGAAAATAGAGAAGCTTCCCCCAGATGATAACACACTCACACATGGTTTTACAATTCAGTGATTACAGATACACAGAAACATACACACCAACAGGAATATGCAAAGAGCCGCGTACTGAAATGAAGAGGCAAACTCAAAACCGCGTGTGAGCTACATCAAGGTCATTCCTTTGACAGCGAGCTGTGGGACAAGTTAACTGCCAGAGCGTCTCATCACAGCCTAACAGAATAAAGAGAAGGACGCAGAGCAAAGAGAGATAGAGAGACTGAAACACTAGACAAAGGCAGGGAATGGCTGACAAATGGAGAAAGAGACAAGCAAAGCGACAAAGTCGGAGAGAAAGCGACACGAAAAAAAAGAGAGAGACAAGGGGAGAAAGAAAAGGGAGAGGGTTTCACAGAGCTAGCAGGCAGCCTTTAGCGAGGTGTCACTTTGCTTCTGAACCATTGGTAGCTACAAACTCCCGCTCTGATTTTGATGGCACCGCCGTCTCTCTGAAGTTTTGAGATGAAGGTTTATAAATTGGTAGCTTTCATACGGGCGACATCTTGTCCATATTTTTAAATCAATCAAGCATAGAGGACACGCCAATCACTGCAGCTCTGAGCACTCTCACAGACAAAGGCAAAAAACATACAGGACAAAGCTCACCAGACCCGCACGCACGCACACACACACACACACACACACACACATATCTACTCCCTTTTATTTTTCTATCTCACTGTTGTCTCCTTTGGCTTGTCAAACCTTCATCCTGTCAACTGTTAGGAAGGTTAAATGTCTTCCAATATACCCGAACAACTGTCAAGCTCCACAGATCCCCACCAGCTCATTTAAGGAAAATGGTTAGTCCATTTGACAAACATTTAATAACGTATTTATTTACTCCCTCTGTGTTACTATGCCGATAATTGAAGAGGCAATAATTCTTGGCACTCTAAACTGATGCCAGATGTTAGATGGACTGATTGTTTTTTAAAACACGGCCCGTGTTCTTGTTTTGCATACTAAGTCAAGCAGAAAACAGCCCCAAAATCATTTGAGGAGTGTCAAATGTGTGGCTATGTATATTCATGTGTGAGGAAATGTGCATGTGTGTGTGTGTGCGTGTGTGTCTGGCGGTATATATATATATATATATATATATATATATATATATATATATTCTTGAAGCATCCATCGATCGTTTTTGGATGCAAATCAAGTTGCAACAAAGATTTCTGGGGACACTGTTACTAGGCAACCCGTGCTTGCTTTGTAATTTGGTGGGCTTGCTGTATATTGTATGTGGCGGTAGAATATATTCATTAGGCTTTAAAGAGAACGCGTCCTTAGATTGGTGCTGACTTACACGACCGGTGAAGAAAGAGCATCAGATGTGCTGAAGAGCGACTTAGTGAAACATTCACCGTCTTCATCGGGTTGAATAAAAACTTTCTGCAGCAGCGTGTGTGTGTGTGTGTGAGAGCATGAAGTCTAGAAGATGCACATCACGACCAGGGATGATGACGTGAAATAGC